GGCTGAGTGAGGGGCCGGGGATAGCACGGGGCGCCAGGCCTCGGGTGATAGGTGCGATGGGCGATGCCTCAAAGGCAGGAGAGGGCGCGGAGCGGGATGGAAAGGGGAATAGTACGGGGGCGGCACGGGGGAAGGGGAACCGAAGATCCCTCGCTCGACGGGCGACGGGAGAAGGGCCAGGGGGCGTGGCCCTATGGGCAACCGCGACGCCGCCCCACGGGAAGCGTGGTCTCGGCCTTCTGCCAGCTCCAACGCCCCGAAAGTTTTAATTCACTTTCAAAGAAGGCAGACAAGCCGACTTCTTCTTCTCCTCTCCCCTCTCTGTCTCTCTCTCTCTCTTTTTTTGTTTTGTTTTCCATAGAGGAAGTCGCGAGGTGTCGCGCCCTGTTTTGGGTGCATCGCGACATCTGATGCCGCTCCGGATGGCAGGCACCGCTCTCACTGGCGGAGTTGAAGAGAAGGGGGCACGCGAGTTGGCCTAGAGGACCCGAGAGGGGCACTCAAGATTCCAATGTTTGAACCACCCATTCAGAGACAAATATATGGTAATGAAAATGAAAGAAAAGAACTCTGTAATGTCATAAACGGCAATATTTTCTTAATGAATTTTAGAAATTTCTTAATGAATTATCCTCTGCGATGACAACATAAGAACAAAAACTAAAATAAATATAGAGATAAATTAAAAATGATTTTTACTGAAAACCTACAGCAATTAAGATAGATTAGTGATGTTTTACAATAGGCCTAAGTTTTAAAGTTTTGGAAAAAAACTGAGACACAAGTTATCGGTCTCAACTACTTAACTTGAATTAAAATTTGGGCTGTCGAACTTAAATTTTTGATATTATTTTTTTGTTGTTATCGGAACATAATTGTATTATTAAAGAGAACATGTGATGGGTGATACAAAATAAATTACAGTATTCTTCGTACACCTTGCATCGCACTCAGAAAATTTATCGACACAACTTCAAAACAGAAAAAGTCATTGTAAATTGTCATAAGAGCATTGTGTTGCTAACGAGATAAATTATGATTTATGTATGTTCATATAATAAGTAAGATGTGTAATAACGATCTTCAGAACTGAAACGCAAAGCCAAAATCGCCAAAATTAAGTCATGGCTATTTATAAGGAATTCGCATTTCATGGCTATTCATAAGTTTTAGTCATTTTTACTAGAAACCCTTATCTTTCTGGCCGTAGGAGCGTCTCAGCTGCCAAGCAAATGAGTATTTCATGACTGGACACAATACACATGCGCGAGCTCGCGCAATTCAACAATTCTCGACACGAAGGCAAATATTTGTCAGCCATTTGCAACTATTCCGAGCACACACGGGCCCCCTTGTTTGGCCAAACACGAGAGCGCGTGTATTCGCAGCCTATAGCGTTTGTCCTCATGTCCAGTGTGATTGAAAAGGTTATTAATATTCTGTCGTAATTCCGGAGACTCTATTCGGCTATACAACTTGTGTCGTAGAATCGCGTCTAAAATAGATTTCTTGTTCTTACCAATGAATTCAAACTAACAATAAAATTACGTAATACCATTCGTTGAATGTATTGACATTTGCGATACATTGTTTGTCAAATATGTATTTTATATAATAAAATATCAGCTATTTTGTTTGTTAAATTTTGTATAAATGCATTTAATAAGCATTTATGACCTAAAATTCTTAAATACGCTTTTGAACATTATTTAAAATTAACAAGATTTCATTTTATCTATAAACCTTCTTTGATAAAATTCAGAAGTAGCATGGTTAAAATGAAAAAATATATTTTTGTACAAGTATACTCTAACCTAGCTTACTTCTCGGGAGAAATAATTGAAGTATATATGCATAATTGAAGTACATTGTTGTTCTTATTTCACCTTTTCAATTTGGTTTAAAAAATATATCAAGAAATATCCTACTGTTGCACAAGTATTTTATCTATAGAAAAGAAAAAAGCAAATCGTGACAAGCTTTTCTAATCAATGAACTCTTACAAATAGAAAGATTCTATAAAAAGATGAAATGTTTTCTCTTCTTTAACGAAATATCATACATAAGCGAAATCATAGATATCCGCTCCCAAGTAATAATTGCAATCTGAGAGAAACAAACTGTTCTCCTTTAAGTCAAGATAAATGCTGTTTTCGTTGTGTAAACTTACTATAAATAATCGAACCGCAAGTAATATACACAGATAATTAGATAAAAAATAAAATTGGTTATGTCACTGAGAAACAAGGAAAATTTTGAAAGACTCTGTCTACCTATTTTTGAAATAAATACTTGTTCACGTAATGAGGAAAATACACATCAAATATTTACAATTAAAGTAATAGAAACAATAAAGCAGGCCAATTCACCAATCAGAAGCCCTCATGCCATGGCCACCGGCGCATATTCTACCACAGCACCTAGATAGAACTCCACAAAAGTTGGACTCTTCTCTTGGTGTGCAGAAACAGAAGAGCACACGCAAGGGAATTCCCAGAAGTCATTAAAATTCAACCGTCTACATGTACTTCCACTCGAACAGTTCGGAACCAATACTAATTCCAAAACTGAAGCTAATTAACGAACGAAAATATAAAATAATAAAACAGTTATAACATAAGGGTGCGAAAAAGTACGAACGTCATTTTGCGGGTGAATATGTCATAAAATTATACAGTAGAGAAATAAATTTTCACCAACTAAACAGAAACTTACTTTCCAAATTCACCATACAAAATTTATTTTCAGCACGAAATTACTACAAACAATAACCAAATCATTCTTCTTTATAACAATGACTTACTGGTGCTTATATTCCCAGCTGCACGTCATTTCGGGTAGTGTTCACATTTCAATTGCGATTCATGCGGTCGGGATACAATTTTGAAGCGGCCTCCGCCGGTGGGCAGGCGGGCAGGCAGGTAGGCGATGACGCGGGAGAGAGCGGCGCCGCCCCCAGCCGCCCCCAGCCGCCC